ATGATGAAAGGGCTACGAAAATTAGAAATTCTGAATAGTTTTCAATAAATATTATCTTTTAAAAGATTAACTTAAAAAATTACAAAGTTTATAATTAAGGTGTCCCAGTGTGGAAGCTTGAGGCAATTTTTTCTTTAGCTCATTAACAGGGTGGTGGGCACACTGTGCAATATACAGATCTTGTAATATAGAAACCCACACCTGAAACCTATATAATCATATTAACCGATGTCACCCCAATAAATTTAATAAAAAAAGGGAAAATTAAAATATATAAATTTAGAGCTTTTTTAAAAATATATTTTTATTATTGATTTCAGAGAGGGAGAGAAAGAAACATCAACAATGAGAGAGAATCATTGATCGGCTGCCTCCTGCACCCCCATACTAGGAATTGAGCTCACAACCCAGGCATGTGCCCTGACTGGGAATCGAACTGTGACCTCCTGGTTCATATGTTAATGCTCAACCACTGAGCCACGCCAGCCGGGCTAAAAATAAAAATTGTCGGCTTGGGCTTGGCTGGACAGTTGGTTAGATCATCGTCCCAATATGCCAAGGTTGCAGGTTCAATCCCTAGTCAGGACACATACAAGAATCAACCAGTGAATGCCTGAATAAGTGAAGCATGACCAGGAATCAAACCATGACCTCCTTGCCGAAACGGGTTTGGCTCAGTCGTAGAGCGTCGGACTGGGAATTAAAGGTCCCAGATTCGATTCCGGTCAAGAACATGTACGTTGGTTGCGGGCACATCCCCGGTAGGGGGTGTGCAAGAGGCAGCTGGTCGATGTTTCTCTCTCATCAGTGTTTCTAGCTCTCTATCTCTCTCCCTTCCTCTCTGTAAAAAACCAATAAAATATATATTAAAAAGAAACCATGACCTCCTGGTTCATAGGTTGACCCTTAACCAATGAGCAAACACCGGCTTGGCTATAAATTTAGAGCTTTTACAACTTTTTTCCCTTCTGGGTTCCACTGAATTAGATCAGGTCACATGCCCAGGTTGTTGGCTCAATCCCTACTGTGGGCCTGCAGGAGGCGGCCAATCAATGATTTTCTCTCATCATTGATGTTTCTATCTCTCTTTCCCCTCTCCCTTCCTCTCTGAAATCAATTTTTTAAATATATATATATATATATATATATATATATATATATATATATATATATATATTGTATAGAGAGGAAGGGAGAGAGAGATAGAGAGTTAGAAACATCAATGAGAGAGAGTCATCGACCAGCTGCCTCCTGCACACCCCCCAGTGGGGATATGCCCGAAACCAAGGTACATGCCCCCGACAAAGAACGGGCCAGTAGGGCACCTTGGCTCCTGCTGGTGCAAAGCATGGGCCCAGGTCTGCAGGTGGTTATGGTGGGCTTCGTTGGAATCTTTTTTCTTTTTTTAAATATATATATTTTATTAATATTTTTACACAGAGGAAGGGAGAGGGTTAGAGAGTTAGGAACATCGATGAGAGAGAAACATTGATCAGCTGCCTTCTAGGTATGTACCTGCAACCAAGGTACAAGCCCTTGACTGGAATCGAACCTGGGACCCTTCAGTCCGCAGGCTGATGCTCTATTCTAGGGGTGTCGAACTCAATCAGAGAAGGGGCCAAAATCTAAAATCCAGCCTAAATCGAGGGCCGAATGGTTTACTGAACAGTCATAAACTGTCATTGTGATGGAAACGCAGCGGAGTGCAGCGGAGTGCAGTGATGACAGCGCGGTGCGGGCCACATTGCAAGGCCTGGCGGGACGGATTTGGCCCGCGGGCCTTGTGTTTGACACATGTGCTCTATTCATTGAACCAAACCGGTTTTGGCCCTCTTTGGAATCTTGTTGCATGACACCAAGTAAATGCCAAAATAAGAAATGTTCAAACCTATAGAGACTTTTTTTTTTTTTTGAGCTAAATTGATGACAATTGCTAGGAAGCAAAATCCCAACAGACTGAGAAAATGCTCCAGAGAATGACAGTTTTGCACCTTAGTTATACACTACAATCAAAGGAGGAGGCATAACGAGTTACATGAAATTCATTGGTGGTAGATTAGGGAGGCAGGACAAAGCAAAGGGGGCTAGGAGTAGTGGGGAGAGAATCTCTGGGGTTGAACAAAAAGTAAAAGAAATAGACACAGGCCAAAACCCGTTTGGCTCAATGGATAGAGCATCGGCTTGCATACTGAAAGGTCCCAGGTTCGATTCCGGTCAATGGCATGTACCTTGGTTGCGGACACATCCCCAGTAGGGGGTGTGCAAGAGGCAGCTGATCGATGTTTCTCTCATTGATGTTTATAACTCTCTATCCCTCTCTCTTCCTCTCTGAAGAATCAATAAAATATATTTTTTTAAAGAAATAGATACATACTTTTTTTTTTCTTTTTTTTTTTAACATAGGTGAGTATAGGATAGCTAACAGTTAATTAACATGATCATAATAACAATGAGGGGATTTGTAGTCTCTGATCTGGCCTGGTAGTTGCGTTTTTTTTTTTTTAATATATATTTTATTGATTTTTTACAGAGAGAAAGGGAGAGAGATAGAAACGTCAATGACAGAGAAACATTGACCAGCTGCCTCCCGCACAACCCCTACCGGGGACGTGCCCGCAACCAAGGTACTTGCCCTTGACCGGAATCGAACCCGGGACCTTTCAGTCTGCAGACCGATGCTCTACCACTGAGCCAAACTGGTCTCGGCTCAAAGACATGTTATTAGGTATACATTTGCAGATGCAAAAAAGACGACAGGCTCAGCTAAGGTACAGATGGACCCTTGTAAGGGAAAAGTACCTAGGACATGACTGCTCACCATGAACTGCTTTTAGTCAGAAAGTTGTGTTTGTTTGTGTTTTTTTAAAAAATATATTTTTATCGCTTTCAGAGAGGAAGGGAGAGGGAGAGAGAAACAATTATGCGAGAGACTCATCAATCAGTTGCCTCCTGATTGCCTCCCCACCAGGGCTGGATTCCACAACCCAGGCATGTGCCTGATTAAGAACTGAACAGTGAGCTCCTGGTTCGTAGGTCGATGCTCAACCACTGAGCCACAGCCGCCGGCTAGTCAGGAAGTGTTAATTTCAGACCCTCCTCTGTGGTTACTTCCGGTCTCTGAGTTTGTAAGGCCACCGTGCAGGCCTCCCCTGAGCTTGTCAGGTTTACTTTGTGGCCCCTTTTTCGTTCTCAGATGTAATTTCACAAATCACTGCAGGTGGGCTTCAGGGCCGATCTGCCAAGGAGGGAGATGAGGAAAACCAGCAAGGAGCACCTCCCAAAGCCCCAAAGGGCCTCCAGGTAGGCCTGTGGGTTTGTGTGCCAAAGCCCAGGCCTGAATGCACAGCTCTAAGGTTGTGAGTGTGCGTAACAACTTGGCAGGGGTGGCAGGGGTGGCGGGGGGGAACCACACTGTAACCATCTTTTATGGATTTCAGGCAAGCCTGTCCGAGGGTTTCGATCTGAGAGCTTCCATCTGGCTACCATTCACTTATGCAGATTAGCAGACAACCAACCAGTGAAGAGGCAAAGCCATCTTGTACTTCATTTCTTAGGTGGGTGAACTTCCCGAGTCTCTCTTTCTTGTTTTCTTTTCTTTTTAAATTGATTTTGAGAGAAATTGAGGTAGAGGGCGGAGGGGGGGGAGAGAAAGAGAGAAACACCGATCAATCATCCATGCATTCACTGGTTACTTCTTGTGCCTTGACTGGAGACGGAACCTGCAACTTTAGAATGTGGGGGTCACTCTAAGCAAGGGAGCTCCTCTGCCAGGGCCACCCCAGCCGTTTCTGCCCCTGGCCAATCACATCCGTTCCTTCACTCCTTCCTCCCTATTGCCGCCTCCTTAGAAAGAGCTAGCACTGGAGTCCTGCTCATAGACAACGGGTCGCTGGGAAGTAGGTTTGCCTTTTCTGGGCGATCAAGAGGCCTCTCTTTGCCTTCTCTCTGCGATGTGCAGCCAAATGAAAAAGGGCTCAGAAGAGGGGTTCTCAGCAGGCAGAGCATCGGTGCTGGGCCTCCTGTCTGTTCCAGAGCAGCCCACCACACTCTGCCCCACTCCTGCCACTGAGCACCCTCAGCCTGTGGGATCCGGAGTTCCCTTTTAAGGGCCACGCTGCAAGGATGGCACCTGTGGACAGCACTGGTGGCTATTTAACCAGATGTTAGAGCTGGAGAACAGCTGGGCCCACTTCTTTTTAAAATATATATATATTATTGATTTTTTACAGAGGAAGAGAGGATAGTTAGAAACATCGATGAGAAACATCAATCAGCTGCCTCTTGCACACTCCCCACTGGGGATGTGCCCGCGACCAAGGTACATGCCCTTGACCGGAATCAAACCTGGGATCCTCAATTCTCAGGCCGATGCTCTATCCACTGAGCAGGACCGGTTTTGGCTGGGCCCACTTCTTTCACCAGAGCAGAGGGCAAGGGATCCACCCGTTTACACACAGCTTGGAGATTCCGCCTGTTGTGACCCTTGGACACCTTTTTCACCCCTCACACCACACACACACACACACACACACACACACACACACACACACGAGTCCAAGCCACAGACAAGCAGTTTATTAGTAAGGAAACATGGAGACGTCTGTCTGGCTCTGGAACTTCCCTGGCTTCTCATTCCAGTCCTGCCCTCCCAGCCATTCTCCGCTGTCCACAGGGCCTGGGCCTGGCGTGCCTCTGGCCTGTTCTGCCGTGTCCAGGCGTCAGGGTGGCGGGGTCCTCCGGGGCCGGCAGGTCTGGGCTCTGTCCACCAGGGCCCTTCCTGGCTAAGACCACATCCAACGGCCTGAGGCTGTGTACTGCCTGCCGCACAGCAATCCTCTCCTTAGAGGGATGATCAGGTGGCCCCTGCCTAGTTCTGTTACCCCAAACCCCAAGTCCCATAAAGGTTTCCACCAAACCGTGGTTGAGGGTCCTGACCAATGCTTACCAGGTTAGAGGCTACAGGGATTTAGGGTTAAAGACTTCAGGCTAAGACCAGTTTATTAATTCAACAAGTATTTATTGAGTGCCTACTGTGCACTGGGCAGTGTTCTAGAAGCTGGGGTATGACCACACTGGCACGGTCCTGACCACACTGGGCCCAGCTAGGATGGCTTCCTGAGCTTCAAGATCATGGCCTCCAGTCTTCATCTACTCACTCCTTTCTCCATTTTTCCCCTCCCACCAACTCCTAGACCTTTCTTCTCTGAGTAGGCAAGGTACCACCCCTGTGTCTCTGCCCCTCCACCCTCCCTATCCCCATCATTCCAGTCCCATGGGTGGCTCTCCCTTGAGGGGCCTTGCCAGACCAGCCCCAGCCCCAAAGGGCCTCAGGGCCAGATGCCCACGCTGGTGCTTGATACGGGCAGAGCTGTCACCGAAGCCCTTGCCGCACTCGGCACACTTGTACGGCTTCTCCCCGGTGTGCGTGCGCCTGTGCTTGACCAGGTCCGAGCTCCGGGGGAACTCCTTCCCACAGAAGCTGCACACGTGGGGCTGGCTGAGTCCAGAGGCCTGGGCCCGGCCGCGGGGGCGAGGGGCCACGGGTGCTGGGCCCGGGGGGTTGTGTGGCCTCAGGAGAGTGGGTGGTGGTGGCCGAGCCCGCTCACCACGGTGGGTGCGCAGGTGCTTGACCCTGGCTGAGCTGTCAGCAAAGCCCTTGCCACACTCAGGGCAGAGGTAGGGCTTCTCGCCCGTGTGCACCCGGTGGTGTTTCACCAGGTCTGAGCTCCGGCGGAAGCCCTTGCCGCACTCGGGGCACTTGTGGGGCTTGTCACCCGCTAGCGGGGGCGGGGGCTCCCCGGCCTGGGGGCCCCTGGGCCCCGGCTCCGAGCCGGGCAGGCCGAAGGGCCCGTCCCCCGAGTGGGAGGGGCTTCGCGGTGTCGGCGGGGGGCGGCCGGGGAAGCTGCAGTCCTGCGGCTCCATGTGTGTGAGGCGGTGGCGGAGCAGCGTGGAGCTGAGGCTGAAGGAGCAGTCACACTCGGGGCAGGCGTGCGGCCTCTCGCCCGTGTGGGTGCGCAGGTGCTTGACCCGGGCCGAGCTGTCGGCGAAGCCCTTGCCGCACTCAGGGCAGAGGTAGGGCTTCTCTCCCGTGTGCACCCGGAGGTGCTTGACCAGGTCTGAGCCGCGGGCAAACTCCTTCCCGCACACGTCGCAGCCGAAGGGCTTGGGCCCCAGGTGGCTGCGCTGGTGGCTCAGGAGACTGCAGCTGAGCACAAACCTTTTGCCACAATCGGTGCAGATGTACGGCTTGTCCTGGGCTCTGGGTCTCTGTGTGGCTGCGGTGGCTGCTCGGGATGGCTGCCGCCGGGGCGGCTGCTCCCCGCGGTGTGTCCGCTGGTGCTTGATGCGAGCAGAACTGTCCCCGAAGCCCTTGCCGCAGATGCCACACTTGTAGGGCTTCTCCCCCGTGTGTGTCCGCTGGTGCTTCACCAGGTCTGAGCTCTGCCGGAAGCTCTTGCCACATTCTCCGCAGATAGTGGGGCGCTCGCCAGCCGGGACCCTGGTCCTAGGAATCTTGGGAGGGCCCTGGGCCGGCGGTCTGGCTCTGCAGGGTTTCTCACCACTATGCGTCCGCTGGTGTTTGATGCGGGCAGAGCTATCCCCGAAGCCCTTGCCGCAGACCTCACACTTGTAGGGTTTCTCCCCGGTGTGTGTCCGCTGATGCTTCACCAGATCCGACATCTGCCGAAAGCTCTTGCCACAGTCGCCACACACGGCGGCCCGGTCACTAGCCTGGCCCCAGCGTGGTTCTCCCAGGAGCCGGGGGCCTCTGCCTCGAGCCCGAGGTTTTCCTGATCCCGCTCTCTGGACCCAGAAGTCATCCCAGATCTGGATGCCTTCAGGTTTGAGAGAGGCATTTCCTACTTCATGACCCGGGGCCAAATCTTCCTCTTCCTTGAACCCCAAGTCATCCTCCTGTGGGGTCTGTTGGAACTCATCCGCCTGAGCCATCTCCACAGTCTCACCCCCTAGACCTGGGGAAAGAAAAGCGATTTGTAGGCCTGCCGGTTTGCTCGGCCCAGAAAGGCTTCCTTGACAACCTGTCGTCACAAGGATCCCTTTTTCCTCTCTGAACTTCTAAAGCAGTGGTCGGCAAACTGCGGCTCTCGATGAGCCACACGCGGCTCTTTGGCCCCTTGAGTTTTTAGCAAAGGCCAGCTTAGGAGTACCCTGATTAAGTTAATAACAATGTACCTACCTATATAGTTTAAGTTGAAAAAATTTGGCTCTCAAAAGAAATTTCAATTGTACTGATGATATTTGGCTCTGTTGACTAATGAGTTTGCTGACCACTGTTCTAAAGAACTTACTATTGTCGGTGCCGCTCATTAATAATAGTATTTTCCTTTTAACCACGCCTTTAATAAGTGCCAATCACCGAACTAAGCATTTCTGAGCACTTGCAAACGATCCTGTGAAGTAATACTATTACCATGCCCATTTTCAGACCCAGAATTTAAGTCACCTGCTCAAGGTTATCAAGATTACCAGTTTCTAACTCAGGTCTGTCTGACCCCCAAGCCTGTTACCGCTACATTACATTGTCCCTATTTAGGAAACCTGGTATTTGCTATTTCAGTGATATCTTTTTGATATCAGCCCATTTGGTAATTTATTACCTCAGTCATCTGTGTTTACCTGAGGTGCCCCAGACACACACCTATCCCTCAAGATGCTTAGGAGAAATAAGACGAAGCAAAAATAAAAAGAAACCATGGAGAAGGCAGGATAAAGCTGGAAAGGGATGTGGGACCAGGCGCTGAACTGAACACTAGGCTGAGACTCCTAACTGTAGGCAGAAGGGAGCGGGGGGAGGTCGGAGGAGGGAGACCAGAGTAGACGCGGTCTTGTGTCGATGCGGGCGCAGAGAGCATCACCGGAGGAGGAGGGCTGCGGGAGGTGGTTGCAGCCGCCTGGAGCCCCGGAGTAGGCACAGGCGGCGGGCCGGGAGGACAGTGGGGATGAGTCCCTGCCGGCCTGGAGCCCAGGAGGTGCAGCTACACCCACTCCCCGCTCTGGTTTTGCTCCTGCTGCCCCCCCCCCCCCCGAAACTCAGTTCATCGCCGATTTCTCTGGTCTTAGCCGAGCAGAGCCAGCATCGCATCCTCAGCCCAGCCGTTACCTGTTCATGGCGGCGCCTCGCCGCGGCCTCACCTGTCCGCGCGCCTCGCGGCGGCTCCCTCTGCTCCGGGCCCCAGGGGCCCCCCGCGCGCTGCATCGCCGCCCGGGAGGGGACGGCACACGGTCACCCCGCCACGTGCGGCACTCTGCCGGCTGGCGGGGCTCCGGGCAGCATCGGGTCCGAGGCGCGGGCGTGGCTCCCGGTGCCGCCGGGCCCCCCGCCCGGCCCCCGCCCGCCGCGCCTGCACCTGCACCTGCTGCGCCTTCCGCTCCGGCCACGCTCCTCCGGGTGCCCCGGGCTCTGCCGCCCTCGCCCCCCGCAGCCTCCGGAGGAACCCCGGCCCGAGCCCCGGGCTCTGGGGTGCGGGCTCCGCGTCCGCCGGGAGGGTCCCGGGGCGGCCGCCGGGGGCGGGGACGGGAAGCGGAAGAGCGGCCACGCGGAGCCGCTCTAGGACCCGGAGGAGCCGCGCCTGGGCGGCCGCGCGGTCGGCCCGAGCTCGGCGGCGGCGGGGCGGGCGCGGGGAGGGCGGCTCTCCGCCGAGGGCGGGCCGGACTCGGGTGTTAACGTGTGGCTCCCGGTGAGGAGCCGGGACTCCCCAGTGGTCGCGGGGCCGGGGCCGGGGCCCGGCCGGAGACAAAGGCGCCCACCGCCGGCGGAGGGCGGGGGACCCGCAGACAAAGGCGGCGGGGCTCCGAGGGCGGGGGCGGGGCTCCGAGGCGACGGGAACAAAGCCGGCCGGTCCGGGACTCAGGAAACAAAGCGCGCCGGTCTGCGAAGCCCGGGCCCGGAGGTGGGGGTGGGGGCGGGGAGGGGAGAGAGAGGGGGCTGCGGAGACCGAGGCCGGACGCCTCCGGGGGAGGCGGGCAGAGGGGTGGGGCCCGCGGCGGAGCGGAGACCGGGGTCGGAGACTCACCTCAGGGCGGAGGCGGAGGCGCTGGGGCTGAGAGCGGCCGGGAGGCAGCGGCTGCCGCCCGAGACCGAGATGTAGGGACCGAGATGTGAGGGCATTGCAGCGGAGGCCGAGGAGCTGAAGCAGAGGCCTGGGTCCTGGGGAGAAGCAGGTCTAGAGGCGGAGGAACAAAGACAATGAAACAGACAAAGGCAGAGACATAGAGGCCAAGGGGAGACGAGGGGACAGACGACAGCCCTACCGGAGGCCGCGCCGGGAGAGGCTGAAACCCTAAACCCTGCTCCCAGTTGGGGGCGCCCTGGCTGGGGCTGTGTTCCCGCCGGCCAGGCCGGAGTCCCAGTGTCTGTACTTGGGGAGGAGTGCCGGGAAGTTCCCGCAGCCCATCGGATGATGAGGAGGGTAACAATATTAACTCACATTTATTAGCAACTCATTGCTAAGCCAAGAATTGGTGTAAAGCGATGGAACACATGAAAGATCTGTCCTTGGGGTGCTGCCAGTTTTAAAGGGACAAGCACACGGATCGTGAAAAATGAACTATAAGGCCTGTGTTACATGCACCCATAGTGGTAGAGCAGGAGTCTTTTAATTGGGGAATGAGTGCTTGATTCTGTGTGTCTGGTGTGCATGGATGTTAGACACAGACAGGAACGAGGACCACAAGTCAATTAGCACATGCTTATGGGTCACCAACCAATGTCTAGACACTGTTTGGGCCTAGAAATTGCAAAGAAGCTTATTAGGAAGCTCTTGGCCCACCAGAGTATGGAAATGTGGCAGACCCTATACTGAAAGGAGAGTAGGGCAGAGAGAGAGAGATACCTCTGTAGAGCTTGGCGGCTTTGGACAGGTCTTTAAGGTCATTTGATTTCTGGCTCTGTCATTTGCTACTGTTTGGCCTTGGGGAAATTACATCTGTTTCCTGAACTGTGAAATGGGAACATTAATACCTAATTTGAATGGTTGAAGATTAGTATGTGTAAAAGCACTTTGCAAAAAATATCAGCTGTTGGTTTTTTGGCTAGCATAACCAAGGAAGGTGTGGCATTTTTGAGCTGGTACGTCAAGGACAGCTAAGATTTCAAAGTCCAGAGCCTGGCTGGAGTGGGGTTGGAAGGAAGAACTAACTCCATACAGAGGGAATGAGTGAACAACGGCCCACACACTAACGAAAAACCTAGAATGTGCTAGCAGATTGAGATCCAAAGATGATTAAGACCAATCCTCAAAGAGGACAGCTGAGAGCATTCCCATTCTAATGTGTCCTGAGTTTATATAATAGGAGAGCAGTGAAAGCGTGAATGCTAAGTTTATACCACAAACATTTCTTGGTCCAACATGTGTCAGGTATCTGTGCCAGCAAACGGGTAAGGAGAGGTTAAAAATGGCAAAGAGCTAGCCCCTCTTGAAAGAACCTTCCCCCCAAAAGCTGAGCAGCCCACGCATCATACCCTTTGGCAGAGCTAGCTTTGGCTGAGAAGACAAAGCCTGGAGTTACTAGGTCTGAACTTGGTTTCAAAGATACAGAAGCCCCTCCAGGAAATGCCTGGTGGGGCCATAGGTAGCTATGAAAACATAGCGAGATAAAAAACTAATCCAGCCAAGACCGGTTTGGCTCAGTGGATAGAGCCCCAGCCTGCAGACTGAAGGGTCCCAGGTTCAATTCCAGTCAGGGGCATGCACCTTGGTTGCAGGCACATCCCCAATAGCGGGCATGCAGGAGGCAGCTGATCAATGTTTCTTTCTCATCGATGTTTCTAACTATCTCTCTTCCTCTCTGTAAAAGATCAATAAAATATATTTTTTTAAAAATACATAGATATGTGGATACATCTCTATATGTGTTTTTATTGATTTCAGAGACTAAGGGAGGAGAGAGGAAACATCAATGATGAGAGGGAATCATTGATCGGCTGCCTCCTACATGCCCCCCTACTGGGGATAGAGCCTGAAACCTGACCAGAATCAAACTGGTGACCTGTTTATGGGTTGATGCTCAGCCACTGAACCACACGGCCTAGCTAAAAATATATTAGAAATAAAAATAACCCAGATTATTAAAAGAAAAAACTGCTGTAGGTCGTGCATTGCCCCATAGGAAGCTCAAAGTGGGATCTTTCTCTAAGCAAGCCCCAGACCTTATTATATGAATGACTATGTATGATTTGTTGGAGTTAAAAAGTATATAAATAGAATAATGTGTCACTATTAATTCACATCATCTCTAAACTTAACACAAAGACTAGCCAAGCACCTTTTCTGCAGAGCACATTTAAAAAATATATTTATTGATTTTTTAGTGAGTGAGGAAGGGAGACGGAAACATTGATTTGTTGTTCCACTTACTATTTTTTAAATGTTTTTGTTGATTTCAGAGAGAGAGAGAGAGAGACAGAACACATTGACATCAATCAGTTGCCACCAGCAACCCAGGCAAGTGCCCTGACTGGGAATTGAACTGGCAACCTTTCAGTGCACAGGACGATGCCCGACCCACTGAGCCACACTGGCTAGAGCTATGGTACTTCCTTTGACTCAGCAATTCTTTTTATAGGAATTAGGCCCAAGGAAATGGCTGGACAAGTACACAATGATATTACCACAAAGATGTTCGTCCCTGCTCAACATTGTTTATCACAGTGAAGAAGGGGAAAAAGCCTAAATACTGAGCATCTATAAAAATAACAATGTAGATGTGCATTTATTATCATAGAAAAAATGTACAAAAAAGAAAGATGTATAGCCCTGGCTGGTTTGGCTCAGTGGATAGAGCATCGGCCTTGGGTTGAAGGGTCCCTGGTTTGATTCTAGTCAAGGGCACAGGCCCAGGTTGTGGGCTTAATCCCCAGTGTGGGGCGTGCAGGAGGCAGCCGATCAATGATTCTCATCATTGATGTTTCTATCTCCCTCTCCCTTCCTCTCTGAAATCAATAAAAATATATTAATAAAAGAAAAAAGAAAGATGTACAGAACATACTAGTATGAATGGACAAAAACAGGTTTGCAAATAAAGTATCCTATTTTTGTAAATATATATTAATATATATATATATAAAATATGTATAGGTATAGGAGAAACTCTAGAAAGATAAAGTCTTAATAGTAGTGAGATGTAAATTTTTCTAATCTATTTGCATTTAAAAAATTTTTTTTTCTATGAGAATATGTGTTGGTTATATAATAAATGAATATACATGTTTATTTTACATGTTATTCTTAATACGTTTATTGATTTCAGATAGAAAGGGAGAGGGAGAGATAGAAACATCTATGATGAGAGAGAATCATTGATCAGCTCCCTCCTGCACACCTCACATTGGGGATTGAGCCCGCAATCCAGGTATGTGCCCTGACTGGGATTTGAACCGTGACCTCGTGGTTCATAGGTTGACACTCAACCACTGAGCCACGCCAGTCAGGCCCATGTTATTGTCTTAAAAGCTGCTGAATAACTCAGGGAAGAGCTCATCAGAGTCTGAACCTAGGGCAGGAGCAAAAGGGTAGAGAAAGAAGGGACTAGTTTTTCTGATCGTTAGGAAGCACTTGGACAGCAGTGGGATGTATCCTGTGGAGAGCAAGGATGGGGGGCGGTCAGTTTTAACTGACCATGGTGTGCTCAGCCTGATGAGCGAGGAGGAAGGGCTGTGGTGAAGGGGGAGGAGCACTGTCCCTTCCCTTGGCTTCTGGAAGGACTGTTTATCCCCTCTTACACTACTTTAGCATCGATGCTGTCACACTTTTGGCTATTTCTGTCTCCCCAGAGGACCGGAGTAACCCTGACTGATTCACTCGGTTTGGATCCTCAGCAACTAACCTACAAGAACTCACTGGATTTGAACTGGTGGCACTGTTACCCCAGCTCATTTCACAACAGCACTAGCATTCTGTGCGAGCTCCTCTCATCAGCCAGGCACGGTACTGACAGCTTTTTGTGTATTAGATCATATAATCATCATGACCCTGTCAGGTAGAATTTATTGATGGTGCCATTTAACAGATAAACTAAGTCAGGGGATGCTTTCCCCCTACCCACTTGGGAGTCTGTTACTTGTTCTTCAATAAATCTCCATCTTTGCTATACTATCTTCAAAAAAAGGAAAAAAATAGAAAAAGAAACAAAGTCACAGAGAGGTTAAAGTAAAATGCCCATGGTCACACAACTAGTAAAATAACACTCTTAATGTCTCCATAATCATATGAAGTTTGCACAACTTCTGTGACTTCAGTGCGGTGGGAGCTTCCAATCCCATTTGATAGATGAGGAAAGTAGGACTCGGCGATTTTTCCCAAGGTTACATGAAGGGAACAGGACTAGAAATGAAGTTGAAATAACAATAAGATATACACGTGGCAACATGGATAGATCTTAAAAATAGTGCTGAATTGCCCAGCCAGGGCCTGGCTCAGTGGTTGAACATCAACCTATGAACCAGGAGATTGGGGTTCAATTCCCAGTCAGGGCACATGCCAAGGTTGTGGGCTCGATCCCCAGTGGGGAGCGTGCAGGAGGCAGCCAATCAATGATTCTTTCTCATCTTGATGTTATATATTCATATATATAAAACCATTTGTATAAACATATCCTGTATACTAGCCCTGGCTAGTGTGGCTCGGTTGGAGCATCATTCTGTACACCAAAAGGAGAATTTGATTCCCCATCTGGGCATTTACCCAGGTTGTGGGTTGGGGTGTGTGCAGGAAGCAACTGATAGATGTTTCTATCTCACATCAATGTTTCTTTCTATTTCTCTTTCTCTCCCTTTCTCTCAAATCAGTAATAAAATAAAAAAATTGTACATATATTTCAAAATTTATACAAATACAAAAATTCCACATTAAACTCATTAGAGTGAAGAGGAGAAAGGATTAAGCTATAGGCTGTATTAATCTGCTCAGGTTTCGGTAACAGAATGCCACAATCTTAACTAGACATTTATTTCCTCAGAGTTCTAGAGATTGGAAGTCCAAATTCAAGGTGCCAGTAGGGCTGGTTTCTGGTGAGGCCTCTCTCCTTGAGGATAGCCGTCTCCTCACTGTGTCCTTACATGTCCTTCCTGTGCAGAGACATCAGTGGCATCTCTTCTTATGGCCCCAGACCTACCAGATCAGGCCCCACACTATCACCTCCTTTCACCTTAATTACCTCCTCAAAGGCCCTGTCTCCAAATAGAGTCACTTTGTGGGTAAGGGTTCCACACATGGATTTTTGAGAAACACAAGTCAGTCCATAACATGGGTTAAAAGGGACATAATAAAGCCACAAGTATAGAAAGAAAATGGACAGGATCCAGATCAAGCAAGCCCTTATAAAGCATACTAAGGAGACTAGTTTTTTTATTTTTTAAAATATATTTTTATTGATTTCAGAAAGAGAGAGAGAAAGAGAGAGAGAGAGAGAGAGAGAGAGAGAGAGAGAGAGAGAGAGAGAGAGAGAGAGAGAGAGAGAGAGAGATATCAATGACGGATCCAGCCAGCAAACAGGCGTACGCCTGGACTGGTAATCGAACCATGACCTCCTGGTTCCTAGGTGGACCCTCAACCACTGAGCCATGCTGGCTGGGCTAGCTTTTTTTACTGCTTGCTTTTTTATTGTTGTTGTTAATCCTCACCTGAGGATATTTTTCCCATTGCTTTTTCAGAGAAAATAGAAGGGAAGGAAGGATGGCGGGAAAGCAAAACATCGATGTGAGAGAGACCATGGACTGGCTACCTTCCCAACATGCCCTGTCCAGGGGGTGGAGAGCCCAAACATGCCTTCCCTTGCCTGGGAATCCAACCCACAATCCTTCAGTGTGCAGGCCCTAATCTACAAGAACCCACTTTGTCTTCCTGGCCAAGGCAAGGAGACTAGCTTCAAAGGCTCATAGAAGCCCTGGTCTGTGTGGCTTAGTTGGTTGAGCATCCTCCTGTATACTTAAAGGTTGCTGGTTCAATTCCAGGTCAGGGCACATGCCCAGGTTTTGGATTTCTGGCTTGATAGGGGGAGGGGAGGTTGATCAATGTTTCACATGGATGTTTCACTCTCTTCTCTCTCCATTCCAAAAGTCTTTAAAAAAAAAAAAAAACTGAAAGAAAAAAAAAATCTTAAAAAAAAAAGGCTCAGGACCCTACCTGGTCTGGGTCAGTAGATAGAGTGTAGGCCTGTGGACTGAAGAGTCCTTGGTTTAATTCCGGTCAAGGGCACATGGGTGGGTTGCTGGCTCAGGCCCCAGGAAGTGGTGTGCAGGAGGTAGCCAATCAATGATTCTCATCATTGATGTTTCTATCTCCCTCTCCTTTCCTCTCTGAAATCAATAAAGATATATTTTTAAAACAAATAAAATAATTTTTTTAAAAAGGCTCAGAGAAGTCACTCAGTTCATAAATGCTAAGATCAATTGATATATAACTGATTGACTCCAAAATTCATGCCATCTGAAACCACTGAGTCCTGACAACAAAGTGGAAATGTGTGTATTTCATTTTACATCAGGAAAATGGAGTTCAGAGTAGCCAAATGACTTGCCTAAGGTCACATAGAAGAAATTCTTTCTGAGTTTTTAAAAAATGTATTGATTTTTTACAGAGAGGAAGAGAGAGGGAGAGTTAGAAACATCGATGGGAGAGAAACATCAATCAGCTGCCTCCTACACACCCCCTACTGGGGATATGCCTGCAACCTAAGGTATATGTCCTTGACCAGAATCAAACCCAGACCCCTGAGTCCACAGGCCGATGCTCTATCCACTGAACCAAACTGGTTAGGGCTCTTTCTGAGTTTTATTGGCACTTTCTTTGTGCCAGTCCCTGAGGATATAGAAATTAGGAAAACATGGTCCCTGTCCTTAAAAAGCTCAGCCATGAATAGAAGAGACATCCAGGTAAGCAAATGTGGTCATTGGAGGGCCCTGTGAAAGGTCTGGGAAGTCCAGAGGAGGGAAAATGACTCTGCCCAGGGTAATTGAGGAAGATTTCAGAGGAGGAAGAGCCCTTTTAATCAAATCCTTGAAGGATGACGAGTTCACCTGATGCACAGAAAGGAAAAGGTCAGAATGGGCAGAGTCGAGGATGTGGGCACTTGCTAAGGGAGAGTGAGTAATGGTATGATGAGGCCAGATGGGGAAGGCTGTGGCTGCGGGTCAGAACCTGACTTGATTCTGAGATCACTGGGGAGCCCTGGAAGAGTCTCAAGCGGAGGATGCCTCCGCCAGGAAGGCCTCTCTGGCAGTTGTGCAATGACCTGTAGTCTTTTTAAGAATCCATTGCATTTAAAGAAAAAAAAAACCCATTGTATGAGTTGGTGAGAAAAAATGATGGCCCCTCCCACCTCCAATCCTTTTATGGGTTTTATCGCTTTGACCTACGATTTTTTTTTTTTTTTTTTTTTTTAACCAACCCTGTCAAAGCTTTCATCTCAGTGCTAGACAGACCAACCTGCTTCCTTCCTCTCTGCCTGCACTCCACCTCCCACCAGGGAGATGCACCAGACAATGGGACTTGGGGGAAAGGTGTGCAAAGAACAGAGGGGTTCAAGCTTCCTGTAGGGATGATGGGCAAAGGGACCCAGATGGTGAGGACCCCAGGTGTTCTTGGTCTTCACTTCCCCGCCTCTCTGGGCCAGTTAAGCATCTCAGCTTCCTACATTGCCCGCCCCCTCATTTGCTGCACTCAACTTCCTGCCCAACTAGAGGAAGTGGGGAGAGACAGCAGGTACAGCAGCAGCTACGGGGCCATGGTGAGTGCTTCTGCCTAAGAATCCAGGTCCCTCGGCCTCAACTGCAAGGGCAGCCAGGCCCAGGTCACCCCACAGGAGGCTGACTCTAGCCCTGGAGATCAGGTTATATTGGTGCCCTGTCTGCTGCTCCCAGCAGCCTTATATTGTAACACCTCCCCCCCCACCCCCCAACAGGACAAGGAGTATGTGGGTTTCGCAGCCCTTCCCAACCAGCTGCACCGCAAGTCCATCAAGAAGGGGTTTGACTTCACGCTCATGGTGGCAGGTCTGGGGGTTTCGGAGGGGGCGGGTCCTCAAGAGACCCTGGCAGTCCTCTGACCTGACCACCTGGGCCTATCCTGCCTACAGGGGAGTCAGGCCTGGGGAAGTCCACCCTCATCAACAGCCTGTTTCTCACCAACCTCTATGAGGATCGGCAGCTGCCAGAGGCCAGTGGTAAGACCCTCCCCATCCTCTCCAGGTATTCTACCCCCTCCTACATTCCCACGCCTCACTGTCTGCCTTTCCATCTGCGTCTTCCTTTCCATCTGTGTCCCCCATGACTTTCTGGGGGACTCAGGCAGCTTATTGCTTCTTTCCCTAAAAAAATAGATGGGCCAATTGTGATACTGAGAAAGGAAACTAGTCCTGCCTGAGACCCCTACCAAGTTCCCCGATCTCTTCCTCGTACCCACAGCTCGCTTGACACAGACCCTGACGATTGAGCGCCGGGGCGTGGAGATCGAGGAGGGCGGTATTAAGGTGAAGCTGACCTTGGTGGACACACCTGGCTTTGGGGACTCGGTGGATTGCTCAGACTGGTGAGGAGTGGGGGAGGGAATGAGGGGCAATCTCTCAATATGGCTGGCTACTTGGTGGAAATGGAGTGGCCAGTAACAGGGCTGGTCTGCCCTGGCCTCCAACCATCCCAACTGAAAGGTGGGGGGCATTTCTGGTGGCTGCATGCCCCAAAGTACCCCGTGCTTCCCGACATCTCACTTAGGACCCTGCCAGTTCCCTGATTTCTTTGGCTGGAGACAAAGAAGCTACTTCCCACCCCCACAGTCTGACTAGTCTTGCCCCCTTCCCTGCCATGTGATCCCGGATCGCCCACACACACTCTCTCCTCTCCCACATCCCAGCTGGCTGCCTGTGGTGCGTTTCATCGAGGAGCAATTTGAGCAGTACCTGAGGGATGAGAGTGGCCTGAACCGGAAGAACATTCAGGATTCCCGTGTCCACTGCTGCCTCTACTTCATCTCACCCTTCGGCCGCGGGTCTGGGGGTTGCCCTGGGGGTTGGGCATTTGGGGAGGGCTTGGGAGGTGACTCTATATCCTGAGACCAAGCCCTGCCCAACCCTTGGTGCAGGCTCCGGCCCCTAGATGTGGCCTTCCTCCGGGCGGTGCACGAGAAGGTCAACATCATCCCAGTCATCGGCAAAGCAGACGCCCTGATGCCTAGAGAAACCCAGGCTCTCAAGCAGAAGGTGGGTGTGGTGACGTCTGCCCTTTGGCCCCACATGAAGCCAAAAGTCATGATCAAACATGAACTCAGCTTTGACTCCTTTGATCTTGGGGTAGACTTCTTGGAGCATGGTGGGTAATGCTATTAGAGAAAGTTTCTGAGGAAGGCAGGGAGTAAGCTCAGAATGGAATCCCTGGGCTGGATGCTTGGCCTGTGTGAGGGTAGGAACATAGACATGGTGACCCCTGATGGCTCCCACTCTCCAGTGTCTTCAGAGCCCTCTCCCACTGCTTCTGCTTATCTTTCTCTCTCCTGGTATTTTGGTATCTGCCTCATCTTAGACTCTTTCCAGGACTCTGTCCTGGCTGTTCGGGTGTCTTTGCCCCAGTCTTTTTACCCTATGACTCTCATTTTCTCTGAGAAAATGTTCGTTTCTTTTGTTGGTTTTTTGTTAATCCTCACCCGTGGATATTTTTTCCATTGATTTTTATTTAATTTAATTTTTAAATTAAATTCAGTGATGCCCCTCCCTTGTGTGAGATTTGTGTGTTTTTTAAAATTTATTTTTATTGATTTCATAGAGGAAGGAGGGGGGAGATAGAAACATCATGATGAGAGAGAATAATTGATCGGCTGCCTCCTACAAGCCCCCCCAACTGGGGATCGAGCCCACAATCTGGACTTGTGCCTTTGACCGGAATCGAACCTGGGACTTTTCAGTTTTCAGGCTGACACTTGGGCTCCATTGATTTTTAGAGAGTGGAAGAAACAGGGAGAGACACACAGAGAAACACCCATGTGAGAGAGGCACATCAATTGGTTGCCTCCCACACAGTCCCCTGCCAGGGCAAGGGACTGAGCCTACAAATGACGTATGTGCCCTTGACCAGAATTGAACCTGGGACCCTTCAGTCTGAGGGCCAACACTCTATCCACTGAGCCCAACTGGCTAGAGCTCTTTTCTTTTTTATTGATTTTAGAGAGAGAAGGGGGAGGGAGAGAAACATTGGCATGAGAAACATGAATTGCCTCTTCCATACACCCTGACCAGGGACAGAACCTGAAACCTGGGCATATGCTCTGACCAGGAATCAATCCTGCAGCCTTTCGGTGCCCAGGATGATGCCCAACCTACTGAGCCACACAGCCCAGGGCTGCATTTTCAGTTCATTTCTCACCATCTGTCTTTCCTGTCTTGACCACCCAGTGTCTGTATCTAAGCACTTTTTGTTTGTTTGTTTTGTTTTGTTAATCCTCACTTGAGGATATTTTCCCATTGACTTTTAGCATGGGAGGGGGAGAGACAGAGAAACATTAATTGGTTGCCTTCTGCACGCGCTGCAACCTAGGTACGTGCCCTTGTCACTGAGCCAAACCGGCTGGGCCATGCAATATCTGTTGTTCACAGCCTCTGTGATTCTCACTGTCTCTGCGTCTGTTTCCTCTGAGATTCGGGACCAGTTGAAGGAGGAGGAAATCAACATCTACCAGTTCCCTGATTGTGACTCAGATGAAGATGAAGACTTCAAGCGGCAGGATGCACAGATGAAGGTGCAGAGGCAAAGGAGGAAGGGGCAGAGAAGCAGGGGAGGCAGAGGTGGAGGTGGAAGCCGAGAAAGAAGTTTCTGCCCTGGAGGGGCCAGTGGTGATCCCTGATTCCTGCCCTGTAGGAAAGCATCCCTTTCGCAGTTGTGGGTTCATGCGAGGTAGTGAGGGACATCGGCTCCCGACCAGTGAGGGGTCGCTGCTACTCTTGGGGCACCGTGGAGGGTGAGTAAGGCTGCGCATGCGTTCTGAGGCCAGAGGCGCCCAGGCCACCTCCAAGTCAACCGCACCCAACAGGCGATGGTGGGTGAGCTCTGGTCTTGGAGGTCCTAGGAGCCCAATGAGAGGTCTTTGAGCTGCAGAGCGTGGACCCTCCCCTGCAGAGGGGTAGGATTTCTGGAAGACCTTACCCAGAGGGTGGGCCTGGACTGGAAGCTTCCTGATGCTGCGGTCTGTCTCCCAGTGGAGAACCCACATCACTGCGATTTCCTGAACCTGCGACGGATGCTGGTGCAGACGCATCTGCAGGACCTGAAGGAGGTGACGCACGATCTGCTCTACGAGGGCTACCGGGCCCGCTGCCTGCAGAGCCTGGCCCGGCCTGGGGCCCGCGATCGCGCCAGCCGCAGGTGAGAGCCGGTGCTGATCATAGGTGCTTCCGTGACCCCGCCTTCACCCTCCAGATCTTTCCCCAAAGTCTTTCCCCACCCAGCTTGCTTCCGGCCCTCACCTCAAGGACAAGAGCCCACCTCCCAGAGTCCGACCCCTTCCAGGCCCGGCCTCGGGGTCATGACCCACACAACCACGGTCCCGCCCTTGGTTCCTATTCCTTTTCTCACCCCCTAGTAAGCTCTCCCGCCGGAGCACCACCGAGATCCCGCTGCCCATGCTGCCCATGCTGCCCCTGGCCGAGACTGAGAAGCTGATCCGCGAGAAAGACGAAGAGGTGAGCAAGCGCCTCGCCTCCCCACTGACCACAGCCCCAGTGCTCCTCCAAGAAGCCCCTCTGGCCGCCCGGCCCACCGCCTGCAATCTCGCCCCGCACAGCTGCGCCGCATGCAGGAGATGCTGGAGAAGATGCAGGCGCAGGTGCAGCAGAGCCAGGCCCCGGGCGAGCAGTCGGACGCCCTCTGAGGACCCCGCCCGGTGCCGCTTCACTCAGCTCCGCCCTCCTCCGCCTCTGGTCCAACCCCCGGGCCCCGGGCTGCCCGGCGCCTGACCCGGAGCCCGCCCTGGCACGGGGCTCGGCCAAACAGGTTCTCCCGATCCCAGAGCCGTAGTCCCGCCTTTGGCCCCGCCCCGCCCGCCCTCCGCCCTCCGGAGCCGGAGCTTCCAGCCCAGCAGTGTCTCCATAAAGACGCTTCCTGCCCTCACCATGTGGCTCCATTGGTGGACCGTTGTCAAGTGCACCGAAAGGTCACTGGTTGGACTCCGGTCAGGGCACAAGGCCCAGATTGCCGACCCGGCCGGGGTGCGTTCGGGAGGCAATGGATCGATGTTCCATGTTTCTCTCACAAATAGATGTCATTTTCTCTCTAAGATCAATTTAAAAATTAAAAAACAGCCCTAACCGATTTGGCTCAGTGGATAGAGCCTGTGGACTCAAGGGTTCCAGGTTGGATTCCGGTCAAGGGCACATCTCCAGTGGGGGGTGTGCAGAAGGCAGCTGTTCAATGTTTCTGTTTCTCTCTCATCGATGTTTCTAACTCTCTCCCTCTCCCTTCCTCTCTGTAAAATATCAATAAAATATATTAAAAAAAATTAAAAAACAGCCCTGGCCAGTTTGGCTCAGTGGATAGAGCGTCAGCTTGTGGACTCAAGGGTCCCAGGTTTGATTCGAGTCAAGGGCATGTACCTTGCCTGCGGGCACATACCTAGTGGGGGGTGTACAGGAGGCAGCTGATTGATGTTTCTCTCTCAACGATGTTTTTTACTCTATCCCTCTCCCTTCCTCTCTGTAGAAAAATCAATAAATCATACTTTTTAAAAATTAAAAAACAAAGCTAAGTTTCCTGAGGCCACACGCTTTCTCTTTCCCTGTGGGAATAAACGGCATGCTTAGAGGGCCCAGGCCTTCATTCATTCATTCATTCATTCATTCATTCGTGGGGCACTGGCCTTGTGCAGTGATTCAGCCCCCTCCCCGCCGGCGCCCTCACAATGACACGCTGACGGGTAAGAAACAAAGACCAACTCAATTTTATTAGGACTCGGGGTGGGGTCAGCTGTCAGGAAGGGTTGGCTAGAGGAGGCCTCAAAGGCCCTCTACTCCTGGTCCTTGGCGTCGCCATGCGTGATGACGTAGCAGATATTCTTGTAGTCTACCATGCCGGTCACGTCGGGAGGGAAGGCCGCCCACATGTTCTTGATCTGGGAAAGATGGCCAGATCGGGTTTCCTGCTGGTTCCTTGAGCTCCCCTGCCCCACCCCTCTGCCTTTCCCAGACCCCAGCCCCACTCACCTCTTCCTGGGAGAAGCGGTCACATTGGGTGGTAAGTAGCTCCTCCAGGCTGGAGAGAGGTGACATAAGGGGAGTTGAGATGGGGCCTGTAAGTTCTTCCCACTCCCACCTCATCCTTGTTGCTATTCCCAGTTTCTCCTGGAAACCAGGGTTACTCTAGAATCCTCCCTGGGAGCTCACAAACACGAACACAAAAGGCTTTTGCCCTTCTCCCCACACGTGATGTGAAAATGTAATCCTAACCACAGTCTTCGTTTCTCCCTTGTCCCTGGCAATGCCTAACCCTTGGCAGGAATGTAAGGAGGCTTTCCAGCCGCTAGAGGGATCACTTACAACTGCTTCTTGATAACACCCTTCCCTTCAGGGTCCAGGACCTTGAAGGCTCCAGTGATCACATCTTCGGGGTCGGCACCTGGAGTCAGAGGGCACAAGGGTCCCTGAAAAATCTGTCCCTGAAAGCTCGGGGGAGGGGGGGCAGCTGGGAGCTCAGACCCAGGACACTTCATTCACCTTTGAGCTTCTCTCCGAACATAGTCAGGAAGACGGTGAAGTTGATGGGACCACTGGCTTCCTTCATCATTTCATCGAGCTCCTCATTCTTCACATTGAGGCGCCCTGGAAGGGGGCAGGGGAAGCATGGGCTGGAGTGGGGTCCTGGGACCAGAGGGTGATATTTCTCATAAATTCAGGTCATCCCACCCATTTTTCATCTGGGTAGACTGAGGTGGAGTCAGCAGGGCTGGCCCCCAAGGCTGCTGAATTCCCAGGACTCTGTAGTCTTGGGTCTTTCAGGGGGTTGGGTGGGGGGCTCACCCATGGCTGCGAAGGTGTCCCGCAGGTCTTCCTTGTCAATAATGCCATCACGGTTCTGGTCAATGACTGTGAAGGCCTGTGGAGGGCAAGGGCAGGGAGGGGTTAGGTCCCCCATGGCCAGGCCTTAGCATCTTTACTCCAGGCGGATCAGATTGTGGCTCCCAGCCAGCTGTCCTCTTTCGTGCCAAGAAGAGAGAGGAGCAAGGAATTCTAAACCCTTCCCCTCCCACTAAAACAGGTGCGCATTCCGGGGTGGGAGGGTGGGGGAGGGCAGCTAGGGTGCCTTCGGTCAGCCTTCAGTCTCCCTCCCCTTCACTCACCTCCTTGAACTCCTGGATCTGAGTCTGGTCGAACATTGAGAAGACATTGGAGCTCCCACCCTCTGCTGCTGCCCTCCTCTTGGCCTTCTTGGGTGCCTGGGGGGTGAGGGTTGGGCAAAGACATCCATGGGCCAGATCCTACTATTCTCTGGAGGCAATGGATTAGGTTCAGGGTTCTCTGAGTCCCTCCTTGTAAAGCAACTCATCTGGCTCTAGGCTTCCTCCTCTTTGTGACTGCTTCGCTCTGGGTTCCTATTTCAGTTGCACCCCCAAATTCCTCTCTGTGGCCCTTGAGTCCCATCCCTCCATCCTACCCAAGGGGAAGTTTCCTCATCTTAGTGTCCTGAGCCTGCCTCCTCTGAGTCCCAGATTTCCTGTATGACCCTGATCCACTCATTCATTCCGTATGAACCTCTACTTTCTCATTTATAAAATGAGAGTGGGGAAGGTGGCGGGGGGGGGGGGCAGAAGGGATCAATGGGGGGAAAGGTGACATTTGTCATACTTTCAACAATAAAGATTAAAAAAAAAAAACTACACACACATGGGAATGGGAATCCTTGCCAGCTTGGTCCCAGAGGGTTTTAGAAAGATAGGAGCAGGAGGGTATGGAGCATGCTTTGAGAGGGGTTGGGTTCCAGTGAAAGGAGTGTCGGGATTATCGTATGCACCCCATTAGTGACACCAAGGAAAGAAGAACTCCTCTTTCTTCCTTTTGATGGACTGGGCACCACCTACCTTCTTTCAAAGGCTGAGCTGCTCTGAGGTCTGAGGGATCTGGGCAGGGGGGGGGGATTCTTACCATGTCTTCAGATTCCTGGGGGCAAGGCTGGAAAGTAGCAGAGAGCAAGCTTGCCGCAGTCTCTCTGGGGTTATATAGTCTTGCCTCAGGGAGCCCTTAGCATACCAGGGTAACCTTAGCCTGCGGGTGCCCACCCCAGAGACCAAAATAGCCTGGCTCAGGGCCTTTCCTTTCTTGGAGGGCCTGCAGCAGCTGGAGTCCAGGGAGAGAGGGAGGAGGGAGTGAGTCTTGGGATGCATGTCTCATTAGGACCTGGGCAGGAAGGGTTTTCTTTCTCTCAAACGGGGGCTAGAATGCGCCAGAGTTCAGAGAAGGCCCAAGCTGGGCCACAGTGCTTGGAGAGAGATGAACCACCTCCCGGACCCCTGAGGGGTGTGCCTAGATTTAAACCCAGCAAGTTTATTGAGCACCTATAGCGTGCCAGGTGCTGTGCTGTGCTTTCTGGGTGCACTTTGACAAACACAACCCGCTCCCATTTGGAGTTCACAGTCAAGTGAGAGTATGTGTAGGGATAGCGGCAGAGTTTAGAGGTGGGAGAGAGCCGTCAGGGGAACCTGAGGGACCAGGAAAGTTGTCTGCATTCCCTTCAGGGAGAAGGAGGAATTTGTGAGGAAAGATATAGAACATGGGATCACTGGGTATGAAGGGAGTAGACAGCCTGGGGCAGAGGGCCTGCTCTGTCATCTTGGGCTTTGTGCTTCAGCTCCCTGGGCCTTGGTTTCCCTTTCTGTAAAATGGAATTTAATGCTCATCCCACAGAACTTGTGGATTTGAACACTATTTGGAAACAGTTTAGTGAAATGTAATCGTATTATTACTTAGGCCCTGCCTTAGTGGAACTTACAGTCCAGTCATGAAGACAGGATAAATACAGAGCAGCCCTGCCTAGGAGCATAAAAATGAGTTTATGAAGATCGGCAGAGGTGAGTCAGGGGAACACGGAGGAGCAGGTGTGCTAAGCAGAGGGCATGGATGGGCAAAGGCCTGGAAAAGCAAAAGATCAGAAGTGGTGAGGTTGCCAGAATCATGATGGGGCATGAACGGAGGGGCTAGAAACCTCTGATACTGGAACTGGAGCGCCTTCAACGCCAGGCTGAGGCCTGAGACCTTGGGAGGCTTGAAAAGGTTTGAAACAGGAAAAGGACATAGTCTAGTGTGAGTCTATAACCATTCCTTTGGATATTAGTTTGAAAGTTAGAACTCAGAGGTAGGGAGTCAGAGACACAAAAAGAGTTGGTTACCCCTTCTTGGTTGAGTGGGATGGTCAGTGGGTTCTCAATCCATTTTGGACAAAAACCAGCTCGGCTGACTGTGTGACTTTGAAGCATTCTCTCCCACCCCTCCAGTGCAGGTCTGGGGCAATATTGGCTGAGGAAGCTCTGGGAGGCCCAAGGTTGGCAATGACATGGCCTCTTCTTGCTCCCTTTAGGACCCAATGTCCTGAGCAAGGTGCCTCCTTCCCTTTCCCTCCTCCAGCCTCATGCCAATGCCTCTAAGACATTTTCTTTTCTGGGCACTGGGGCCCAGCCACCTGTTGTCTCTAAGAAGAGAGAAGAAACCACCCTAAACTTAGCAGCTGCTCTTGGCCTCCTGAACTGGCCCCTCCCTGCCTCATTTGACAGCTGCCTCTCCTTATAAGGTTACTATGGAGGTCCAGGCCAAGGGGGAACCCACTTATTACAGGGTTCTGGGAGGGGAGGAGAACTCCAAAGTCAGGAATGAGAGAAGCTTGGGTCAACTGGAAAGCAGGGAAGTTGAGAAGGAGATCGGGAACAATATATTTCAGACACTGAATGGGAGGGAGTTCCGGAACTCAGAAACCAAGGAGGAACAGGGGAGTTAGGCCTGATTGAAGTTTCAAGATGGTGGACTCTGTGGAAATCAGCAGCCTATAATCCGGCATCTTGGGGTAATGAGGGTCAGAGAGAGAGAAAGGCTCAGAAGGTCAGGACTTGGTGTTTGTGATCTAGGATAGGCTGGGGCGCTCATAAGATTGGGGTCTGGTTTCTTAGCAGAAAATGAGCACAGAGAAGTGTGGCAATGAGGGGATAGTAGTTGATTGAAGGGTCTTGAATTACCAAAAGAATAAGAACATATATGTAAGATTTCATGGTTTGGGGTCTGGGATCCTCACTAGAATGGGGCATATTGAAAGGATGAGGTGTGAAGACTTGGGGCTTAGGATTCCCCCA